TGGACATTCGAAACATCGGCGTTGGCTGATTTGGGCTATCATATGAGTTTATTTTATCTCGCTGATGATAGAAAAGGTTGTAGTGGTGTCTTTGTAAGTTTCATTGCTCATTTTTTTACAATATAGTCATGCCAATAGAATCATTTTCACATATTTTTGACAGCCTTTTTTGAGTTCTATTGAGTTTTAGAATCATGATCAATTGCGCTATTCCTTGCTGAAATTTCCCTATGACATTGTTTCTTTTCTATTGCCAGTGTGGGCGATCCTATATGTATTTCGAACAACAAGGAAACCTAATATATACAATGACGATTCTACAGAGGTATGATTTATCCTCGTGGTTATCACTCATGTTTAAGAGCTCTCAAATCCTTTTTAAGTCAATTTATGCATCACGAGGGTCATCAATTGGATCAATTGCCGATGTTGTGGTGGTTAGGAACTGGCGTCGACGTTATCGTCCGCTCACACAGGTAGGTTCCAATTATGTTTGAGTAACTTACACATTGTTTTTTGTTTAGCCGAAATAGTTGGACCTTGCTAGAGATACTGCTTTCTAATATATATTGAAAAAACCGACACAATGTATGGTCCATATCCCAAACTTAAAGATTTTTTCGTTTAAGCGCAGCTAGTGGTCTTTTGTGTAGTGTGAGCTACCATCTATTTGTTTTTCAAAATTTTTCTCAGCTTTACAGCCGCTTTTGTATTAGAAGGATGAATAAGCTTATTCCAATTTTCTTGCAGCCATCGCAACATGATCGTCCAATTCTACCAGGACGTAGACCAAAGCAGCCCGCAGCAAGTGCTGCTGGACGGCTTCGAGGAGTGAGCTCTGCGCCGATTATAGTAGCTGGACGACGGCTGTCGACTTCGCGCAGTTTAGTGAGCAGTCCATTGTATTCAATACCGGAAGAACTTACAAACAATGATCATCATGGTGCTGCTGCTGTGGTCGGTTCAATTGATAGGTTATCGATGGCTCCGCTCGTAGATGAGCAACAGGAAGGTGATGTGATGTAGAGGGGTTGAACTGAATGTTCAACACCCGTACTTGAGAAGAAGTTTAGTCTGTAACAGATATGCTATTGATACTTCGAATATTGGTTAATGGGTCACCAAAATATTATTACCCCTTATGAGGTCTGCAAATTTGTATATTTTCTTCTTGACTCTTTTTCTCACGGAAAAATTGTATAATGTTTCTATGGTCGTTTTATCTGATCCATGCTATCAGCTAATCTTAGTGTTTTCTTTGACTTTATTGGTTTGGGAAGTTTCTGATGCCTAAGAACCTTTGTATGTTCACAAGCCGTAATTTTCAAAAATTCACCGATTTCTTGCTTTGCTCATCTCATTGTTTTCCATTTATCTTTTCCATTCTATTCCTTGTCAGGAAGCAATGTATTCCATAGTAATCGCATAGATGATTCATTGCTTTGTTCGCTTATTGAGCTTATTTTTCCGATTCTATCACGGGTTTCTTCAATTTACTATAGTGGTAATCTTTCTCTAGTTTGTGCATGGCTTGCTAATTCGAGGTGTCGATCTAAAAAAATTTTATTTAGTAAATGTAGTTATACTACAACTTTATTTAGGATATGTTCTTTCTTAATATCTATACGAACACTTCGTATTATTACATGAACCCGACTTTTTCCATGCTTATCTTAAACA